TATTTGTAAAGACCATGAAATGCCAGTCTCAAGTCACGTGACTTGGCCAGAGCTATCTGCTTATGCTTTAGAGAGGTTTATGAGATGGGAGCAGTAAATGAGAAAACTCCTAGCAGAGACACCCCTAGGAGAGAACAAATTGGGGTCCTGGCACTAAGGGCAGGCTCTGGCCTCCTATACCTCATCTTTCTTCTGGGTGGCAGGACCATCCATGGACTGATCTATAATGCCCTGAAGCTGTTTATGGAAATGAATCAGAAGCTCTTTGATGACTGCACACAACAATACAAGGCTGAGAAGCAGAAGTGAGTATCTCTCTCCCTGGGAGACTTTCATCTGCTACCACCAGCTCACTTTGGTTCTCTCAAGCCCGGCCCCAATTCTACTTTTGCTCCCTCAGGGGCCGGTTCCGAATGAAGGAAAGGGAAGAGATGTGGCAAAAAATTGAGGAGCTTGCCCGGCTTAATCCCCAGGTGAGGTTTTTCTGCCACTGCTATGAACAGAGGGGCCCATGTTGAGTTGGGGAAGAGTTTGCTGGAGGAGGAATATGAGGCAAACAGGCCCACAAACGTCTGAAGTGGCTCTCACCACTCATCCATGCCTCCTCTCGCTCTCAGTATCCCATGTTCCGAGCTCCTCCACCGCTGCCCCCTGTGTATTCGATGGAGACAGAGACCCCCACAGCAGAGGACATCCAGCTTCTGAAGAGGACGGTGGAGACCGAGGCTGTGCAGGTGGGAGGGCACAGTGGGTGGGGTAGATTCAAAATAATAGCTCAGGAAGGGAGAGGAGACGAGCAGCAGAGCCAAAGAACAAGGGGAGGAAATAACACAATTCACTGGGAACTGGTCACCATTCCTCTCCTCCCTATCTACACACAGATGCTGAAGGACATCAAGAAGGAGAAAGTGCTGCTGCGGAGGAAGTCGGAGCTGCCCCAGGATGTGTACACCATCAAGGCACTGGAGGCGCACAAGCGGGCTGAAGAGTTCCTAACTGCCAGCCAAGAGGCTCTCTGACCCCCTCACCTTCCCCCACAGGGCTACAGCCCACTCAGCCCTGGGACGCTGCCCTAGCCCTCCACCCTCTGTTCCCTACTGGCTGACTTGGGGCAAGGCAGCGCCTCTGTAGCTACTCTAGGGAGGGGATATGGGCACTTGAAGCAGGGACACCAACAGAGTGGTCCCTCTTCTCCCCAAAATGTGTTCATGCCTCCCTGTGGCTAGTACAGAGAGGCTGGGCACTCAGATGCTCAGTGCTCAGACAACCTGGGGATGCCTGTTCCCTTCCTGCTCCTAACCCCACAGCTACTTGAGGCTGCTCTGAGAAATACACAAACAGGAATACATACGCTCCTCTATTCCCTTCATTCTCATTTGAGTTCTCTCCTCCTCTCTCTCCCCTGCAGAGGCATGTAGGGAACAGCAGGAGATTATTCTCACCAAAGTTACGTCAAGCCCCATTGGCCCCTGGAGTGAGTAGCTGGAGGGAAGCCAACCCCCAGCAGCACAAATAGGCCCCCAGCCCCAGCAGTGTGCAGGTTGATGGGGTTATATTATGTCCTCTTACCCACTGCCTGACCAAGACAACATGGGAGGTCAAAAAGAGAAAAGTATATGCTATGGACAACAAGTGATGAATATAGGGCCCAGATGGACAAGAGGGGGGATGAGAAAATACCCTATCCTGTGCCCCCTCTTTGGTGAGCAGCAGCCCTGGGATCACAAACATGGAAGGGACCACCCTGGGGCTGACTGCTTTCCTATGCTGTTGGTTCCCATAGCTAGAAAGAAGGAAGCAGGGAGCAGTGCCCCAAGCATAGCTCCCGCCAACACCTATTTATTTCCTTGTTTCTGCTGATGCTGGAAAGGCCCTCACTTGTCTCTTTTAGGACCTTGGAGGGGCAAGGGACTGAGAAGGGCTGGACCCAGGTTCCAGGGCACAGGCAGTATGGCTTTTGGCTGTGTACATAGGGTGCTTTATTCTCCACAGAGTGATACAAGCTATGGTGGGTTGGGCTTGGGCCGATGTCCCCTTATGTACAGAACTGAATAAAGTGGGTCTCTGAGACGAAGTCTGATTTGCCTTGATGTGGAAAGAGAGATAGTGAGGATGGAGATGGACATTACAACCAGGGATGTGTTCAGTCCTCTGCTGGCTCTGGCCTGGAATGTAGAGAGATAAGGCAGCTTTCAGTGTGGTCACTTCCAGGCAGGGGACGCCTGCCGGGCTTGGAGGGCTTTCTGTACCACATCTTCCCACTGGGCATCCGATATCTCCCGAGCCCAGGCAGGAACCCCTGGCGCAGGCAGGCTTACTCCAGCCATCGTCCTTTTCACCAGCTCTACGTGTTCTGAAATCACAGCCAGAGACCAGTTAGGGGATAGAAACAATGGGACAAGTTGCCCTTCCCAATCCTTGAACCAACCCAGAGCCTTTGGGCTGGTGGGGGTCACCAAATCCATCTTGTTATGTCTAGACAAGCCTGCCCATCCCCAAGTCTAGCATAACTGCATTTCCACCTGGACGCCAAAGTCTGCAGAATCTCAGTTTATAAACTATCTTTAGAAATAAGGTGTTCCTCTGTAACATCCTTCTACTGACTCAGCCCAGTCCATGTCCTTCATAATTACTCCAGAGTGAAAGAATGATCTCTCTTACCTGGGTCCATAGGAATAGAACTGTGGTTACTCAATGCTGTAGCTCCACCCTCATCCTCATCCTCACTCTCTAATGGTGGGTCTGGCAAATGAAGCCCCAGGGCCTACGGAGCCGGAGAGAAGACAGTTCAGGTCCAGTCTTTCAGGGAACCGACAAGCTTCACCTACTCAAGAACACCCTCCTCCACCATACCTGGATCCGATCCTGAATGTCACCAACTACATCTTCTCCATGCCCCACTGGTGCCAGCTCCACCTCTTCTTGTTCAGGATCTTGGTTGAGGGGCTGGTAGGAGTAGCCAGCTGGGCCTGCCCCCGTTTCCTCCTGCTCTTCCTCAGGCTCCTCACTGCTCCAATCCCCAGTGCCTTCTGAAGGGCCCTGATGTGGCCCCAGTTCCTCAGTCTGATTGGGGAAGATACGCTCAGGGCCCATGGTGTCTCCCCCTAGAACTACTGCTGCCATCCGGGCAGGGGCTGAAAGAACAGGGAGGCAGGAGGATAGGGACTGGATGAAGCCACATTCATTCTCTCATCCAGCACGCTGTGGTCTCCTTTTGCGTCTACAAAACCAGCTTCCAACCCCAAGGTTCTTGCATCCCCCTCCCTTCCACCCTTTCACTCTTTTAACTCCGAGTCGGAGCTCTTATCTTCAACAGGGCCCCACCCGCCTTGCTCTGTCAATTCCTTAATAAGCCCAACCGCAGGCCCTGCAACCCCCTAAAAGTCACCCCTACCAGAAACCCAACCCCGCTTGGGAACCCGGGGTCACCAGACTTCCCCAGACAGGCGTACCCACCCCTTCTCCCCTATCCTAGGGGTTCCCCTTCGTACCGCCTGACAGACGCCTTTCAGGCCTCAGGGGCAGCGTCCCCTACCCGCCCCACTGAGTCTACGCGCTGTGTCTCCGCGCGTCTCACCCGCTCAGAGCCCGCGGCCGAACCCTCACCTTCACTTCCGGCGGGGCAGGACGTGCCGGGGCGCCTAGTCCTCCAGCCCCGCCCCATGCTCATGATTGACGCTAGCGAGGACAAGGAGTCCGCCCCTTGCCCGCCTCCGCCATCCCCTGCCCAGAAAACAAAGGACTACATTACCCAGTGACCCTCTCGTGCTTGACACACATCTGCACATGCGCAGAATGTCTCCTTCGGTGCCTGCCCACTCCTACACCCTCACGTCCCTCAGGAAACCTTCGGACTACAAGTCCCGGAAGGCTTCTGTCACTTAGCTCTTACTGCACGTGCGCGCACAGCTGCCCGCCGGAAGGACCGAGCCTGGCAGTGTTTATCTCGTTGGGGACCGAGGCGTCGGTTGGCGCGCAACGGGTTCTAGGCTGCAGGCAGCGCGAGGACCCGTGGCCCCGCCCCGGCCCGGCCTGGCAGGTAGCCTGGGATGGGTTGAGGGGAAGGAAGAATTGGGGGGGTCTGGGGTCGCGCATACCTAGAGCTGGAGTCTCGGGGGAGGGGCCTGAGAGTGATGAGGTGGGGGTGGGGAGGGAACTAGGGGGATGATGGGAGAGTGTTAATGGGGAAAGCAGGGCTGGGGGAGGATGCTGAGGAGACCAGTGGAAGAGACCTGGTGGCTAGAGGAGGCACTGAAGGAAATTGGAAGGAAGACTGGGTTACGAGGAGAACGGGGAAGCTCAACATAATGGAAGCGGCGAGGGGTGGAGGGTGGTGCTTGGCTTTGTGGGGGATGGGAGGCTGGGGTGTCTAGAAGAAGACAGAGATAGAGTCATATTCAGGGAAGAATATATGTTAGTTTTTCTTCCCTTAGTGCAGGTGGGAAAATGGAGGGCTGTTGGGTGGAGCTTGAAGTGGTGGGAGAAGGAAAAATGGGAAAACTGCAAAGCTCTCAGATGAAGAAGGGCCAGAAATGGGGAGTCTAAATTGCAAAAGACCAGAAGGAGGGGTAGATACATTAAGGGAATCGAAAAAGCTTGAAAATGCATTAGTGATGGAGGATCAGAGAGACCCAGAGATAAAAGAAGCCCCTAAGACCCTAGGGGCTTTTTCTCCTTGAGTTTGAGTCATCCTTATGGAGGAGAAACTAAGATTTTTTTCTTCACCTTTGGTTTGCATTGCTTATCTCTTCTGTGCGTTTTTTACTTTACCTTAACCTATCGGAAAGCGGGAGAGAATAGAGGCTATGAGGGAAGATGAAGGACTTCAATTCTTAAGCCCTTGGACCTCCTAACTGTGCCCGCAAGATCCAAGATATTTTGGATTGAGAGCAGGAGTAATGAAGTGAGAGTAGCTTCCTGCTGGAGCTATTTCAGGTTGGGTAGGGTGGCTATTTAAAGCATGGGATGTGGGGTTGGGGGAGGTTGGGTGGGTGGGACTGGCAAGCCAGCTGAAAACCACATCTCTTTCTTGCAAGGGGCCTCCCTTATTTGAGCTTTTTTTGTGCCTAAGGTTCTGCCTGGCCCTTCCTTCTGCCAGCGCTTCTTGAACAGGGAGCAGATGATCCACCCAAACCCAAGCAGGTGCCTGCCAGGAAAGGCATTGCCAGTTTCGAGAGGATTTGCCTGAAAGAGCCCTCAAGTGTACCCATTATCACTAGGTTGGCAGGTTGTCTTTAAGAGACCATGACCTTTCACGCTGGGTCCTTCTCATGTCCTGCCCAAAGGCATTTTTGCCTCCCTTCTCCTTTCCAGTGCACACCCACACCCATGTCCCCCTTTCATGGACCCAGTTGGGGAAGAACTGCTGGCAATGGCTTGTTTTCTACCACAACAGCAGGGTTGGGGAAGTGGCAAGAGGAGAAAAACCCTCTTCCCAACCCCCACCCCACTGCCAATCCCAAGCATACACATACCTTTCTGGCTTAAGTTCCTAGTCCTGGCAACGTACCAGGCACAGCTGTGGGAGGAACTCCTTGTGCTTGTGGGGGGCCCTGCATGACCCTGATGACAACAGCTCAGCTTGACAAGAGCTCCCTGTGAGGGGCTAACCAACCGTAGTAACATGGAGGTCCCTGTCCTGGATCAATCCCATCCTGTCCTGGGTAGCGGCATTGTTCCACTCTAAGAGCCTAAAAGCTTTTTTGCTTTGAAGCACCCATGCCAGCTTTCAATGGACTGTCTGGGGCTGGCTGAGCTATTAATAGCTGTGAGTATTTTGAGATCCCTTTCCCCACCTTAAAGAACACAGAGATTCTTAGAGAGGTGGCAGTAAGCAGAGCAGAGACAAGAGAACATACCCAGCCTGGGAAGGGGGCTTAAAGTTTGTTCCAAGATGGGGACAGAGTGGAGCCTCCATGAGTAGGGGGCGACCATAATCAGCAGATTCTAAGCTGGCAATCAGGTTGGAGTGGCCCCACCCTTTGCTGTTGGAGAACACAGGGCCAGGCCTGGCTCCCTGACCTCAGCAGGTCCCTTGGGCCAGCTCCCTGACCTCAGCAGGTCCCTTGGGCCAGGGCCAGCTACCTGAGCTGTGACTAGTGTCCCTGCAGAGGGGTGGTGTGGGAGGGCCCCAGGGTGACACTCGGAGGCAAGTGCTAGTCCTGGACAGAGTCACCGTGAGCTGGGAAGAAGTCTTGCCTCAGAAGCCCGTGGCCCTGACTTGTGTGCAGGTAGCAGAGGCAGCAGGCCGTGCCGGGGGGGCATGTTGCTGTAACCAGTGGCCCAGGGGATGTTACGGTGGACAGTGCACCTGGAGGGCGGGCCCCGCAGGGTGAACCATGCTGCAGTGGCTGTTGGGCACCGGGTATACTCCTTCGGGGGTTACTGCTCTGGTGAAGACTATGAGACACTGCGTCAGATAGATGTGCACATTTTCAATGCAGGTAAGCCAACGCCGGGACTGTGCCTGGGTGCCCACATCAGGGAGGGGAATGGGTGGCTGAATGAGGTTCGGTGGTGGTCCCTGTGGCCAAGGGGATTGGTTTGGGGAAAGGTGGACAGCCTGGAGGGAGGTTCCCAGGGCTGAGCAGAGCTGTGCCCACAGTGTCCTTGCGTTGGACAAAGCTGCCCCCAGTGAGGCCCGCCATCCGCGGGCAGGCTCCTGTGGTCCCCTACATGCGGTATGGACACTCAACCGTCCTCATCGACGACACGGTCTTCCTTTGGGGCGGGCGGAATGACACCGAAGGGGCCTGCAATGTGCTCTATGCCTTTGATGTCAGTGAGTATGCATCTCAAGAGAGGCTATATTCTGCCACATGGTGCCTAAGGGACCAGGAAAGTCTTGGGTTGGGGTGGCTGGGGAATAAGGCACCCCAGAGTTTAGGAGGGAGTGTCAGAGGTTGCTTACCTGGGCAATTCTCTCACCTCTTGCAGATGCTCACAAATGGTTCACACCCCGAGTGTCAGGAACAGTTCCTGGGGCTCGGGATGGACATTCGGCTTGTGTCCTGGGCAAGATCATGTACATTTTCGGGGGCTACGAACAGCTGGTAGGTTGGGGAAGAAACTAGAGGTTTCTGGTGGGAATGAGAAAGAGGAACGAGAATTTAGGGTGGTGGAATGGGAGGCTTTGGCTTGCTTGCAGGTTTTGAGGGGAAAAACAGAGGGTCAGAGAGTGATTATTGGCTCTCTCTTTTCTTTCTTCTTTTCTCTTCCCACTCAGGCGGACTGCTTTTCCAATGACATTCATAAGCTGGATACCAGCACCATGACTTGGACCCTTATCTGTACAAAGGTTTGCCCTTTCTTTCTCCCCACTCTCCATTGAAGAAATCATAGGAAGCTCCAACAGTTAGAGCAGATCCTCTTCCAGCCTTTGTGCTGATGCCCTTCCCCCATCTCTCTGCCCCTGCCCAGGGCAACCCTGCACGTTGGAGGGACTTCCACTCAGCCACAATGCTGGGAAATCACATGTATGTCTTTGGGGGCCGCGCCGACCGCTTTGGGCCATTCCATTCCAACAATGAGATTTACTGCAACCGCATTCGCGTCTTTGACACCAGAACTGAGGCCTGGCTGGACTGCCCACCCACTCCAGTGCTGCCCGAGGGGCGCCGGAGCCACTCAGCCTGTGAGTGTTTGTTACTTCCCTGTGGAGTCCCGCTTCCTGTCCTCACACTTTTGACATTCTTCTCTCCTTCCAGTTGGCTACAATGGGGAGCTGTATATCTTTGGTGGCTATAACGCAAGGCTGAACCGGCACTTCCATGATCTCTGGAAGTTTAACCCTGGTAAAGAGCACTGCCTTTAGGGGAGGAACCAGGAGCAAATGAGGTGGGAGGAAAAGAAAACAATAATCCTGAGTAGGTGAGGGGATCCTACCTACTCAGGGAGAAGATGTCTGGACTGGGCAGGTATTGAACTTCCATATAAATTTCTCTTTAGTGTCCTTTAGCTGGAAAAAGATTGAACCGAAGGGGAAGGGGCCATGTCCCCGCCGGCGCCAGTGCTGCTGTATTGTTGGTGACAAGATTGTCCTCTTTGGGGGTACCAGGTTAGGAGGAGAGAGGGGAGGGGTGTAGGGAAGGGCCTAAGTCTGTGACTAACGGGAGAGTGGGAGGTATTTGAGCAAGACGGTCTCGTGGGTAGTGTTCCTCCTACCTTCATCTCTCTTTTGATCCCTACAGTCCATCTCCTGAGGAAGGCCTTGGAGATGAGTTTGACCTCATAGATCATTCTGACTTACACATTTTGGACTTTAGTAAGTACATTTATTCCTGAAGAGCTCCTGCCATCAGGGTCCCTATCTTTGGGTGGTGAGATCCAGGACTGGATCCTTTCCTTGGCTTTGACCATCTCCTTCCTCCAACTCCTTCCTTAAAGGCCCTAGTCTGAAGACTCTGTGCAAATTGGCCGTGATTCAGTATAACCTGGACCAGTCCTGTTTGCCCCATGACATCAGGTATAGCGAATGGTTGGAAAGGAGGGATTGGTTGAGAATAAATGAGCGGCACAGGCATGATCTAATTAGCTTGGTCTCACTGTGGAGGAGACAGACGTTTTTGTTCTGCTGGAGATGTAGTGTACTTGTGGGAAATGAGATGCAAAGAGGTGAAGTTACCGCCATCATATGATAAAACTGTCAGCTGGGTAAGTTATATGAAATTAGAAATCAATCCAGTTTTTCAAACCAAGCTCAGAAGCATTACCTTCTGAGACCTGAGCTTATAAAGTATTTGTTAACATGCTAAGAATAATTGATTAAATCTTGGAATCTAGCTGCAAAGTAAAGACACATTTAGGAGCCTCTGGATCTCATTAGTTCCAGGTCCTGGCTGCTTCCCTTTGAATTCCATTCTTAGGTTTGAATCAAGCACCAAAAGTTACTTTGTGTATAATTCTGCCCTTCTGGGTCATTTTGAAACATTTCCCATGCCTCCTATCAGTTGTTTAACTCTTGCTTGCTGAGGGTCTATGTGTTCAGTATTTGGTGACATAGAATGTACAAATCTGACCTGATAAATTCCAGGCTGGCCCAAGATTGACATATGTGCCAGTGCCTAATACCAAGTAGACTGTTTAGGGTCTTGGCATAAGGAGGTACTTGGTAAATCTTTGTAGAATGAAAGAATTGTTGAAAAAAAGAGGGATTTAATTTTAACATGGTGGGATAGGTGAAAAAGGCCTCAGGGAGGATAGGAGAGCTGTGTCAGAACCTAAAAAGAACGAGAGTTGAGAACAAAAATGGGCATTCCTGGTGTGGGTGAGGTGGAGGGGCTGCCTGGTTGGATCTGAGCAGAGCAAGAAAGGTAGGTTGGGATGTTTACTGAGATGTGTACACAGATCCCAGGTGTTCAGACACGAGACCACATATATAAACGTAAACAGGATGAGCTCGGAGGTGGAAGAGTGGGTGGTATGGGATTTGGTGGTGGGTGGGGCCTGACTGTTAAACCTGGTCGGTTTAAGGGAGAGGTGGCTGTAAGGAAGAGGTGGCTGTGGGCAGTTGAGCTTTAAGAAGTTGGAGGGACTGGTGTGTTCATAGCTTCGTTCAAACAATTCTGGGCTTGGGGTGGGGGCTCCCCCTTCTGTTCTTTCTGCCTGTCATTATTGGCCTTCCAGGTGGGAGCTGAATGCCATGACCACCAACAGCAATATCAGTCGCCCTATCGTCTCCTCCCATGGGTAGGAGGAAGTTTCTGCCACTTCCCCTCCTGAGCCTGCTGTTGTCTTCACTGCCCTTGCCCATCTCTCACCTGCCTGCCTGCCCCTTTGGACCCTGGACTTCGCATACCTCCCCGTGGAGTTGTTGGACTAGAGGTGTTTTCTGTGCTGTGAATTCAGTGGGGAGCTGCAGGGGTGGGAGGGCTAGGTTCCTCCCCTCCTTGGGCCGAGGGCCCCTTCCCCTTGGTGCTCTGTCCCCATCCACCTCCCTCCAACGGCTCCTTGGGCCTCTGCTCTGCCCCAGGCCAGCTAGGCTCTGCTAGGAAGGGAATGGGGAGTAGGGAGAAGCAAGCAGTGTCTGAGCCTCAGGAGCTTCCCCCTATCCCTACCCCTACCCCCACCCCCACCCCTAACCCTAACCCTAACCCTAACCCTAACCCTAACCCTAACCCTAACCCTAACCCTAACCCTAACCCTAACCCTAA